AGAAAAAAGATAAAATTAATTCTTGTTTTGAGGACCTTGATATCTATTGGGAGAAACATTTAATTTGTGTACACTGCCTATATATGTGCCTTTTTACCTGAACTATTTCATTTGATTTCTGCAGTAAGACTGTGTGTGAGGTTATCATCATCATTTTAGAGATAAGGAAATGTTAGAGAAGAACTCAAACCTTCTGAGAAGAACTCAAACCTTCTGGCTGTAAATTCTTTACCAAGCCAAATTCAATGCTGCTTCTCCTGTACCACATTAACTCTTTATAATATGTCTACATTTGTCATCTTGTCTTATTTGCATGAAAATGCAGTAGCTGTCCTGAGAGGGCACTTGCAATCACTCCTAAAGATATTAATACTGAAATTACAGGTCTCTGCATCATACTCCCTGAGCACACACCAATGAATTTTGCAAAAGCTTTACTTTTGATTTCTAATTATACTGCCCATCATCTTTTGAAAATAAAATATTCCAATCCTGAGACTTTCCCTATAAATCAGTTCATTCATTTCCTAATAAATATCAAAGCAATGTTTCCTTTTCATCAGTCTTATTCTTCTGGGGAGCGCCAAGTGTCTCCTGGATCAATCAATATAGCCAATCTTTTCAAATTAAATTTCTCTCAGTGAAACAGTTTAAACCCATGGAAAATGTGGATTTGTCTCTATTTTCTGAGGGAATTTTAGTAAATTGAGTGTAATCTACCTAAATTACTTATATCAAGTGATGGCTGCTTCCCATTCGAGTATATTGCAATGGAACAGACTCCCACCCAAGATGAGTGCAAATTTGTCTCTGGAGGAGTCTAGATCATGGAAGAAATTATTACTTTGGAAAAAATTTCTAGGTGATTTCTCAGGTCTCTTAAACATTTTATAAGTCTATAATTCTTGGAGTCTTAAATATTGTTTATATAATAAAGGCAAATTATTATATGGTTGTGTTACTTGATCTTAGGCAACAAACATTCTTCATTAACATTGCTTAACCATAGACCCATGATGCTGAAAGGAGCCCAGATGAGTTGGGGTGGGTGTTACCCTGCATTCAGAGGAACCTCATGGTCCTTTTTAAGCTATTCAGGGACGTTAACGCTATGTTCTGTTGTTGAATACTCTGCAACACTATGCTTCCGAAACAGAATTCAGTATTTAGGGATGCTTTCCATACCCTAACACCCCACCCACCCATCAGACTAGTAATTTTTGAACAGTGATTCTTTTGTATACCATGCATGTTATGTGTCCATTTTTGAATTTTTACAGTACTGAATTAATCTTTTATTATAGTATGATAGTTGGAAGCAAAATTTGGATTAGCCAAACCTGGATAGGAATTTAGGTTTTGTCATTTACTAGTTGTGGACCTTTGGCAATTACTTGAGTCTTACTCTTCTCCACTGTGAATTGGGAATTCCTCTGCCACTGAGGTTATTATGAGGACTAAAATAAAACAGTGTTTTATGTTAAACATAAAAACAGTAAGGTTTCTGAAATGTTTGTAAACCAATAGTAGTTGTTATTATACAGATGCATAAGAGCAAGTGAATGGAATGACCACTATGTGCAAGGCTCTCTTGTAGGCATTGGACATTTTACAAAAGCAAAAAGAGAAAATTCCTGGGCTGGGCATGGTGGCTCATGCCTGTAGTCCCAGCACGTTGGGAAGCCGAGGCAGGTGGATCACCTGAGGTCAGGAGTTTGAGACCAGCCTGGCCAAGAAGGTGAAATCCCATCTCTGCTAAAAATACAAAAATTTAGCTGGGCATGGTGGCTTGCACCTGTAATCCCAGCTACTCTGGAGGCTGAGGCAGGAGAATCGCTTGAATCCAGGAGGCAGAAGTTGCAGTGAGCTGAGATCACACCACTGCACTTCAGACTGGACGACTGAGTGAAACTCTGTCTCAGAAAAAAAAAGAAAAAAAGAAAAAATTCCTGCCCTCATGGAGCTTACATTCTAGTGGGGGAGGAAAGACAACATGTAAATTAAAATGGATGATAAAATATCAAGTAATTCTTTTTTTTAAAATTTCAACTTTTATCTTAGATACAGGAGGTGCGTGTGCAGGTTTATTACATGAGTATATTGTGTGATGCTGAGGTTTGGGGTATGGATCCTGTCACCCAGCTAATGAGCATGGTACCCAATTGGGATGATTTCTACCCGTACCCCCATCCCTGCCTCCCTCCTCCCCCGTCTTGTATTCCCCAGTGTCTGTTGTTCGATGTTTATGTCCATGTGTGCTCAGTGTTTAGCTCCCACTTATCAATGAGATTATGAGGTACTTGTTTTACTGTTTCTGTGTTAATTCACTTAGGATTATGGTCTCCACTGCATTTATGTCACTACAAAGGACATGATTTTATTCTTTTTTTATGGCTGTGTAGTATGCTATAGTGTATATGTACCACTTTTTAAAAAATCCGGTCCAACATTGATAGGCACCTAGATTGATTCCATGTCTTTGCCATTGTGAATAATGTGGCAATAAACATATGAGTGTGTGTGTCTTTTGGGGCAAGTTGGTTCCTCTTAACAAAGGTCCATTGCATAGGTCCACCTGAGTATTTTCATGACGTAATGGTTGACTTCTATCAGAGTGAGCAATTCAAGAGAACAAAGTAGAATTTGCAGCCTTTTAGAACCCATCTTCAAAAGTGACAGACCATCACTTTTGCCATGCCACAGGTCAGCCTAGATTTAGTGTTGCGGTGGGGGCACCACACATAGGCATTAATACCAGGAGGGAAAAAAACACAGGAGACATCTTGGATGGTGGGTAGCACAGTGAGTTATGCAATAATTTTGTGGGAAGATGGTTCCAGAAGGAGGGGACAGTAAGTGCAAAGACAGCAATCAAAGGCTAGTCTAGCTAGAACACAGAAAACAGATTGAAGTAGATTGGGCAGATCAGGTAAGGCCTGAAGCAACATGACACGAAGGGGTGGCTGTATTGAGAATGGAATAACTTGAGCAGAGGAGTGGCATTACTTGATCTATGTTTTTAAAAGATTATTCTAGCTGTTGAGTAGAGAACTGATTTCATGGAACAAGAAGAAAGGAGGGAAGTTGAGGTAGGATGGATACTATTACTGTATTCTAGGAGAGAAATGAGCTTGAGCTCAGGTAGTAATGGTGGAAGGGATGAAAAGTGTCTGGATTACAGATGTGTTGTGAAGATAGAGCCAACAGGTCTTGCCAATGAATTGGATATGGGGTGGAGAGAAATTGAGGAGTCCAGAAGGCCTTCTAAATTTTTATCCTGAACAAAGTCTTGGGAATGATAGGGGAAGTGCAAATGTAGAGGTTAGGAGGAATGGTGGATGGACTTCTCTTCATATCATAGTGGACATACTAAATTGGGGAGGTCTATTGGACATCCACATCTCTACCTATCAATATTATATGAACCAGAAAATTATTGATCCTGCCTAATTACATGTTGTAAAGAATAATTAAGGATTAGAATTATTTTCACAATATGATTAAACCAGGTAAACTCTTATAACTTAAAAGAAAGAATTATGATTGAATACTACAATGTAGTTATGATTTACAACGGGGGGCTAATTTTTTTCTGTATTAATAAAAGTTCAGAACTGTAGTTTTCTTTACTTGAAGTCTGTTTTTTTCAGCTTAAATTTTAAAATACTGTATTTGATATTGGCCAGAGTATTTTGAACAAATGTTTTAAGTGTGAAAATTAAAGTCAATGAAAGTTTAAATTTCTGCAAGTTGTTCTGATCAAACCAGTCACCCAAAATGCTGTATTATGTTCCATACTTCTTCAGCACAAAGCGTTGAAAGGTACTTAGTGTTTCTTCATATTTTTACTTCTCTTGATGGAGAAGGGTTCTATTTTCCTCATAAAAGTAGTAAAATTAATAAAAATTTATACAATACAGAATTAGATATGGGGGAAAAAATCAAACAACTAAAAGCCCTTTTTACCACTTGTCATTCATTCTGTGCTATAGCAATCTGTAATGTTCCCCAAAGGAGAACCTCTGTTAGAAGTTTAATAAATATCTTTCCAGATTGTTTTCTGCACAGTTATATATATGTGCACATGCATGCATGCACATACAGGTTTTTTTAAACATAAAATTATGTACAACTTGTTATTTTCTCTTACAGTTATATCTTGGAGACTTTGTCATTGTTAAATATATTGCATAGCACTATGATTTATTTAACTGTTTTCTTATTGATGTACATTTAGAGTTTACAGAGCTTCTAGCATTCTCAAACCAAATATTATTCTAGAATTTTTCTCTCTATGATGATTTAAACCAATGTTTTAAAGCCCAGTTTGGGGAATTTTCTGTAACAGATGCACATACTTCCAACTGTATTCAGAGAACCTCAGGTTCTGTAGAGCTTTTCTCACCTATGCTTTGTTCTCTTTGAATTTATGGATATATACGTGTATATGTTTTTTCCTTTATTGTTCTAGAGCATCTTTGCGATCACTAAAACAATGGACCTTGAAAACAGGTTTCTCAATCAATAAAGTAGAAAATGTGCTTTTGGCAATTTAAAATGATACATGAATGTGTGTTTCTGAGCATCGCAGTTAGAGATAATTGTTTTGGGACTAGGATAAGTAGTTTATCCGATGTTGATGATAATCTGAGTAAGAGGGCTATGCATATTAACCATAAACTTTGATAAGGGAACAACTTCATAAAATTTTTTAAAGAAAATTATCCTATTTTAGATGTCTAAGTGAACATTTGTGTGGGCAGATTTTCTTATCGCTCTCATGAAGTCTCCTTACAAAAGCAACATTTCTAAGTAGTGAAAGGCAAGGAATTTCGCTTAGGTATAAAGTTTGCTAATTTACTAGCTGGATGTAACTCACTCGATGAATCTTTCTTAATAATTATGTATCTCTGGAGCATATAGTCTTACTAAAGAATATTCTCTTATGTACTTTAAAATGATAGTCTGACTTGATTATGTTCTTTTTTCTTTCTTTTCAGAAAGTATCTTTATGTCACATCTTCTTTTAAAGGAGCATTTAAAAATGAAGTTAAAAAGGCAGAAGAAGCAGTAAAGATTGGTATGCGATTACCTGTAGCCTACATCATTGTTGTTCAGTCATTCAGCAAATCTTAATTGTGCACTTAGATTCTGAGACATACATTGCTCTAGGCATTGTAGGAGCTACTACAATTAATTAATTGTAGTTTCTGTCTCTGTGGAACTTCAGAATACATTCTTTCCATCTCTGAGTTTGTTTACTCATGATATTATTTATTATTATAAGTATGATCCTGAACACACTTCCAACTAGATTGATATTTGTTAGAAACCTTGTTTGTCTGTCTGGACATGGTGGTTCACACCTATAATTCAAGCACTTTGGGAGGACATGGTGGGAGAATCACTTGAGGCCAAGAGTTCAAGACCAGCCTAGGCAACATAGTGAGACTGTGTCTCTATTTTAAAAAATAAAATAAACTAAGAAACCCTGCTTGTCATAGCACTGTGTTAGGTCATTTTAGATCCCTGCACTGCATCCACTTTCAGAAGGATGTTCTACATATCCACTCCTCCTACTGCAGGAACAAAGCTCTCTTCCCCAGTATCTGGGAGTGAGTAGTAGCTCTACATCTATATTTTGTGGATTTTAAAGCATTTTCTGTCAGCTAAAAACTCATTTATGACTTTTGAATTTATATTTGTATATTTATGTCCTATAAATTGTCGTACCTAAATGAAAGCCCAATAGAAGGAAGATTTCAAATGTGTAAAAGTTATAAGAGGAACATAGGGTTTTCTGAGATCATGGTCTATATGCCATTTTTCACTGGTCATGCTATATGTATGGAAAATACTCACTTAAAATTGCTTGAAATAATTGTGCTGTATGATAACTATTCGGCTTCTACTTCCAGCTGAATTCGTATTGAAAGAAGCACAAATCAAAGTAAACCAGTGTGACAGAACCTCTTTATCTTCTGCCAAGGTACAACATGTAAAGAGAGTAGTCTTATTAAATGGCAAATTGTGTCATTTGCGTTTTCCTGTGCGTAGTTGTCTCTTACCATCTACTTCCTAAACTTTTAAGCGCAGATAAGCTCAGAAGATTAAGTTGATTTTAACTCAGGTCAATAGAATAGATGAGTGCAGAGAAAGGAGAGGAAACTCAGCAAGTGGGGGCAAGGCTGAGGCAGAGACAAAAGATGAACAGAACATGGGGTGAATTTGAAATGGGGAAGAGCATCACAAGCAATTTCTTTAAAATAGAAAGGAAAGTAACAGGAGAAAGGGAAAAAATAATGAAAAGCCAGCAGAAGAAAAAACTAGCCTATCAAGTCTCCTTGAAAATATCTATTCAAATTGTAGCTCCCTGTGGACCTAAATAAATGGGGAAAGCAAGGCAAAGTCTAATAAGCAATCCTTTTTGCTAGTGCCAGGAATTATATACTGTAATTATGAATATTAATAACAATGCTTCCAGCTTCCAAAGCTCTTTTATTATGAGTTGCTCCACACAGTTCATAAACATTCTTTGTAATTCTTACAATATGCCCTTGAGTAAGATAAGTTAAAAAGAACTATTGTTATTAATTATAATGCATTGCAACTAAGAGAAATAGAATATTGCTGCAAGACATGTATTTTAAGTTTGCTAACTCTTACCAAAAATATGGTGTGAAGCTTTAAACGATGGTTAATCATTAAGCAACATATTTATTTGCTTACATGCAAAGGGATAAGTAGGAATATGGAGGTAAAATGCCTTACTTCACCTTCTCTTCATCCTCTTCTACAGACTGAATGTATGAATCCTTTCAGTGATTTTGCCATTTAACTTTCCAGGACCAATGCTGTGTCTGATAAAGATCTTTCATATCTAAGGTCTTTGGTAAGGGATGACATCAAAGAGTAGTTCGTGCTAATGCCCCAAAGCTAATTCTGTCCATGGCTTGACCCAATTTCTCTTAGTTTTTTCTTTTCATTTTTTAAATTAAAGGTAAACCTATCTTATTGTTATTGATTATTGATTTTTAATCGTTTAAGCTTTTTAAAATTTTGTTTTTAAGAAATCATTTCCCTTTGCTTTATATGTGTGAGAGTCCAGAGAAAGACTAATGGGTCAGGACCTTGCTTCCTTTTTGCCTCCTGCTGTTTCTTCTCGCTGCCTCTGCTCTGTGCTCTGAGGGCACTGCCAGGCAGGGTAGGGAAGTCCTTGACCAGTTTGCTTTGTTGATCTGATGCAGTCCGGTTTCTTTAAGGCAGAGAAGAGAGCAAAGCAGAATGACCTGAACTTTTGACCTCTTAAATTCTTCTGGGCAGATGAATTTTAAATGGAATATACTTGCCAACCATTTTCCACTTTCTTTTACTGGAAATTCAGTGTTCATTCAGTGGTGTACCATACATCAAAAGAGATACCTACCTTTCACCTCAGGAGGATGAAGCATGTTAAGAGGCTATTCTGATGCCTGAGAACAACAATCATGAATTATTCCTCTTCTGCTTGGTTAGAGGGAGCGTACCAGATTTAGAGTAGTGAATGAGTTGAAATATCAAATCAAAAGTGTTAATAAGAAAGATAACTGGGCATGGGGTATCCTATAAAGGGAAAGTTTGAGAAATATTAGATGTATCCAGAATTCGATATGAAGGAGATATTTTCTGCTGGCTACTAACCAATTTTCTCAATTTTTTTTTTTCCTGCAAAAACACTTAGTGGTCACATAATTGAGCATTTATTGTTCTCACAAACAAAAGTCAGAGCCTGGGTACACTAAATAACTCACCCAAGTTTTCATGTAGTTTTTGTCAAAGCCTTTGTGCCATTATGGAGAATAAAGTTTCTTTCTCTAAAAGGCAGAGAGGATATCTGAATATGTACAAAAGAGAACAGTGGGTTAGGATTTGGTTTATCTTCTAAGGTGTTGGAACTGAATAATTTATCAAGTATTGAGAATCTACGATGGTAGAATTGCATTAGGTAATGTGAGCTATTGTTACCCTTGAAACATTTGAATAATAGGATAATATCAACTTGCTTTTTGTTAATTCAGTGGCATAATGTTCTCTCCTAACCAATGCACTCCTCCAGGATGTATTACAGAGAGCTTTGGAAGATGTAGAAGCAAAGCAAAAGAATCTTAAAGAGAAACAAAGGTGAGACATAAGGTTTTCTGTTTGCAGGAATCCTCTGTACTGTGTTAAAACAAATTCTGGTTTCTAAGTAGGTAGATTTAGTGGTTATTGTGACAATTTTTTTTTCAGCTTATGACGTCTTATAATCTGAAATCTAATATAGTCAAGGTCCCAAAACCAAGATAAGCAATGTAAAACATTGATAAAGTGTATATTTACACATACACATGTGTGTCTACATAATGTTAAGACTTCTAAAAAAAGTGAAAAATTAGTTCAGCATTTAATTGTTTGGGCTAGATGACGATGTCTGGATGAGGGAGTGAACTGCCCGGAGGATCAGCTGATAACTCACTTTGCCTCTGGGTCATTTGCCATTTAAATTCTAGAGAATTGGTTCCAGTTTCTTCCCTTTGTCTAGTAGCTTAAAATTTAAGATAGGAAGTAATGTTTCACGTGAATGTATTGCTTATATATCGCTAAAATAGAAATAGCAAGGATATGTTAACAAAACCAGATATTTACATTTGTAAGATTAACTTGCTGTCCAACTCAAATGCTAAACAAGTTAAACTGAAAATAATCACTGCTGCCCACATAAGATCGGACTTTGAAAGCTGTGATACCTTTGTGAAACTATTTTCAAGGGAAGTATGATTAGTTCTTAACATTATTTTTCGTGAACCATGCACTGACATCCAACCATAACTTTCCTCAAAACCTAAATTTTAAATGTCACTTTTGCATTTATCAAAATAAATAAATGTGAAATGTTACTTATGCATTTACCAGAAAAATTTAAATAAATGTCATAGAAATTGTAATTTAAAAACGAAGCCCTAAGGCTTTAGAAATAAAAACCTTCTTGAAACAAGTTCACTGTATGAGACAGTTCATACAGTGAAATGTTTGAAAACTGACCAATCAACACTTTATTAATAATAATGCCAGTTGCCATGAACTTGTTTTAATGGTCAAATGCTGGGTTTTTTAATTGAAGAATATCAGTATATCATTTAATATTATAGAGTGACTATGTCATATACTGTAATACCCTATTTAGGTATCCCTTATACAGTCAGTACTTTTGTTGAGTAGTTGGAATCTCATTACTGAGTAGTGATTTTTGAGAAAAAGTTTGATTCCTATATGTTTAACCTTAGATATACATGTGTTTAATAAATATATAGTATATTAACTCATATCTTATGTTCTGTATATATAATATCCACATGGAAGGACTGATAGAACTTTATAATTGTTCTTTAATGGTAGATGCATTTAATTAGTCCAGTAAGTATATTATGTCAAATGTAATAGCACATGGTCATAAAACAAAAGACCAAGTTTTTGGAGAGAGGGGAGCTACAGGGTAAGTGCAGGAGAATTATTTTTGTTGTCATCTTTGATTGGGTAAAGAAAATAACGATTGTTATGTACTTAATCTGTTCCAGGCTTATATTTAACATTATTTCTTTTAGTTCTTATAACATCACAAGTGGCTAGGCAGGTATTAGTCCCATTTTTCAAATGAGACAGAAAGTTTAAGAGGCACAACCATAGTTATTACAAAGATAGGCTTGTATCTGAAACCAAGTCTGCCTCTCACATCCAGGCATTTTCGTAGCTTCTAGCAGCCTCTGATATTACAGATATTTATATCACAACTCCTTACCATAACTGTTTTTATCACATTGTGGTATTTCTCAATTTCTATTTTATGCTTTTAATAGAAAACTCACACAAAACATAATATAGAAGTTCAGTCAGAAAAACAGGAGCTCATATCTGTTGCTGTTGTAAACTTGCTTTATGATAATAACTTATTTACCTTGTATTTTGGAAAAGGTTAAGAGGAAGCCAGAGAATATCTTTTGGTGCATTCCAGTCTATGTGGGATATCTGGAGACTTGAGAAGATGCTGAAATTTAGAAATCACACCTACTGTTAGAAATACCTAAAATAGCCAAGTCATCATTTTGTAAAAAATGCTGCAATGTACCTATAAGACCAGTTAATATTTCCCAGTTAATATTTCACAACTCTTTTAGCATTTTCTAGTTCTTGTCGATTTAAATTGGCAGACGTGTTTTTAAATCAGTGAATGCCTTTGTTTGACTGGCATAGTTACTGGCATCATGTTTATGCAGAATACTTGGCTATACAGAGACATCCGAGTGTGCCTACCAGATTTTGCAAAATATTTGGATATATGCCTTTGACGTTAACCTTCTAGTTTAATTATTAGCTGTTTCATAAACTATATATGTTTATTTAATAAACAACTTTTTAAACTTTCTAAATCTAACTCTAGAGAATTAAAGAAAGCCAGAACACTCTCCCTGTTCTATGGAGTGAACGTGGAAAACCGAAGCCAAGCTGGAATGTTCATTTACAGTAATAACCGTTTGATCAAAATGCATGAAAAAGTGGGCTCACAGTTGAAACTGAAGTCCTTGTAAGTATATTTTTGCTTTCAGAGGTACAAGCAGAGAGAGGGAGGTTACAGTAAGACGCTGTCTGTGGAGTGAGATGAGTGACTAATCACAGTGGGAGCAAGTGTCATAGTCTCTGTTCACCCTTCCTGTCGATATGCGGGCATTAATCTGTCTCATTTATAATATCGGTGAATCTGCATGCATGCTCTAAGGAAAAATCACACTTTGGGAAATTTTTTTCAATGCATTGTTTGAGCAGCTTGATGTAGGGCCATTCCTTGTGCCATCTCTTTGGCTTAAATTTTTAATGCTTTACCAATTTAAAAATAATACAAGCATATTGAATACATTTTAGAAGAGAAAGAAAAGAAAAATCCATAGTCTTGTAAAGCAACCCTGTTAACATTTTGTGCAGCCCCTACATATATGAGTTCATGCCAGTTACCTGTATGATCATATGTTACTGAAACTCTCTAGCCTATTTGGATTTTAGAGTAATACATTCTCATGCTTTCCCAATGGTCTGAAACTTCTCAAACTGCTTTCATCAATGATGTAGAGTCCTGAAGAGACACACAGAAAAGGACAGGATCAGACAAGATAATCAAGTCCAGTAGAATGGGTCGGGAGCATTTACTATCTTGCTTCTTCACTCTCGAGGAATTAGCAATTCATTCATTGTTTGTTTAATAAGCACCTATAGTGCAGCGTTGTATGCCAGGCACTATACTAAGCTCTGCTGATAAATGGCCCTTTTGCTAAGGAATGTATAATCCAGTGAAAGGGACAAGCATATAAATGCATATTTTTATATTGTGTGAAAATGACAAGAATTATCTTATAAAACCTAGATTCGTTGGATTTCTTGCTTAAATCCCAGTGCACTCAGAATAGAACTGCTTGCCGTGGGCTTCCAGTTATCTGGCCTCTGACTGGCTGTGGGACCTCACCCCCTACTAATACCCTACCCTCTCTGCATTTCCTGTTCCTCAGACCTCCTAAGCTCATTTCTACATTGAGACCTTGGGACATGCCATTCCTCGGCCTTGAACCTTCTGTCTTCAGATGTTCTTACTGCGGGCTCTAACATGCCATTCAGCCATGGGCCTGAAGTATTTTCCACAGGAAGGTCTTCCTTGACTGTCTAATTAAAACTGGTCCCTTCCCTTCCCCCCACCTGTCACTCTTCACATATCACAGCACCTGTGTTACGTTACTCACCCCACTTATCACCATCTGAAATGATCTTGTATACTTATCTGTTTATTAACTTCATGCCTGCCACCCTTCTGTAAAAGAGAAACTTCAAAGCCGGGGGAACCTATACTTCTGGTTCTCACCATATTCTTAGTTCCTGGAACAGGACTAGGTGCTGAGCTTGAATGAATGAATGAATATTATGTTAGACGTGAGCATCCAGTGCGAAAAGAGCATTTAGGAGGGGCAGTAAAGCAAACTGGGGAAGTCAATTTAGGCCTTCTAGAAGAATGAAGCCCAAATTTAGACTTAGCGAATGAATAGTGAAAGGAAAGCAAGGTGGAAGAGTGAAGTGGTAGCAAAACACGATAGGCAGGGACCCCAAATTGTGAGGCTTTGACACACGTGCCATACAAAAGGCAGTGGGGAGCCCTAAAGGCTTAGACAATTGTATACTCTTTCCCAAAGCAGGTTTTGTCACCAAGCAGATTTACAGTGAGATACTCATACCCTCTGGGATAAGCCAGCTCTGATTCCTTCATGGAATTCACTGAGCACCCCAAGGACCTTTGCAATGAAGAGGAGAAATCCAATCTGATAGATGAAATGCAGAGAAAGAAAGTGGTTCTCTGGCTATTGTCATTTAGAAGATTATGCCAGTTTATTGCAGTAAGGCACCATGGTTTTTAATGTCAAAAAGCCTTGCCTTCCCAGCCACCCTCACTCTCCATGTAAGGTGATAGGTTTGTAAAACGAGTCATATTAACTCAGTAACATTGTGCTAAAGTGATTTTTTCATTATGGTACCAAACATGTTGGGATCCCCACAGATTTATGATAACGTCATTAGATAACTTGTTAAACTTTGACATGGTCCAGACCAACAGAATCAATTTATTTTTGGAAAAAAGAAATGATTTCAAATGACCATAATATATTTGATTTTTTTCTTTAGCCAAATTTTAAAAATTTAAATATGCATATATTTTCTCAGACTTGGCGCAGGCGTGGTTGGAATTGTTAATATACCCTTGGAGGTCATGGAACCATCCCATAATAAACAGGAATTTCTCAATGTCCAAGAGTATAATCATCTACTAAAAGTCATGGGACAGTACTTGGTCCAGTACTGTAAGGACACCGGCATCAGTGAGTATTCAATAGTCATAGTAGGAGATATTTACAGAGGGATTACTTTCTGTGATTTCTTTAAGCTGACATGATTATCTGAATTCAGATTACCAGCAACTGAAAACTCTGAAAGGGAGCTCCTGCTTTAAAAACAGGAGTCAGAAAGAAGGAGTGAGAAGGGAGCCCATTTCAGAATCTTTCCCAAACTATCGTGAAAAACAAAGCAGCAGATTAGAAATTGCAAGGGAATGGCAATCAGAGAACAGAGTGAGGTGGCAGCTGACCATGGAGGAAGGAAACACAAGATAGCTCCAAATAGACTGAGAAACCCTGCTCAGGGCTCTGGGACTCCACTGTGTGAGAGCACATAGTCCCATGCAGACCTTAGTAGCTCGTATAATGTTATGTCATACCATAGAGTAAAAACTACTGGCCCTGGGTAACTGTAGATACGTTAAACTTTTTTTTTTTTTTTTTTTTTTTCTCTCTCTCTGAGATGGAGTCTTGTTCTGTCACCCAGGCTGGAGTGCAGTGTTGCAATCTCGGCTCACTGCAATCTCTGCCTCCCTGGTTCAAGTAATTCTCTGCCTCAGCCTCCCAAGTGGCTGGAATTACAGGCACCTGCCACCTCGCCCGGCTAATTTTTGTATTTTTAGTAGAGACGGGGTTTCACCATCTTGGCCAGGCTGGTCTTGAACTCCTGACCTCGTGATCCACCTGCCTCAGCCTCCCAAAGTGCTGGGATTACAGGCCTGAGCCACCACACCAAGGCAGATATGTTAAACTTTGTTTTGTATAGTTAAAAATTCTTGAGTATGTTAATTCCAGGAAGATTTCAAATAAAAATTTCTAAAATAGATAGATCTGGAAACTTAAAAAGATAAACTTTAGTTATCTGAAAAATGTGATTTGTTTAGATCACCTCACTCCCCAGAGACACCTGAACAATGAGATGGTGTGCTGTGCATTAATTAAACTTTTTGTTTTTCAACATATATTTTAGAATCAAGGTGTACGTGTGCAAGATCATTACAGAGGTATATTGTGTGATGCTGAGGTTTGGGATATGACTAAACTTGTCACCCTGGTATTGAGCATAGTACCCAATAGGTAGTTTTTCAGCCCTTGTCACCCTTTCTCTCCCCTTTTATATTCCTCAGTGTCTATTATTCCCATCTTTATGTTCATGTTTACCCAGTGTTTAGCTCCCACTTATAAGTGAGAACACGTGGTATTTGGTTTTCTTTGTCTGCATTAGTTTGCTTAGGATAATGGCCTCTAGCTGCATCCATGTTGCTGCAGAGGACACAGTTTCATTCTTTTTTATGGCTGTGTAGTATTCCATGGTATGCGTGTGTTACGTTTTCTTTATCCAGTCCACTGTTGATGGACACCTGGGTTGATTCTGTGTCTTTGCTATTGGAAATAACACTATAATGAACATACGTGTGGATGCGTGTGTCCTTTTGGTAGAACAACTGATTTTCCTTTGAGTATATACCCAGTAGTAGGATTGCTGGGTTGAATGATAGTTGAAATCTTAGTTTTTAAAGAAATCTCCAAACTGCTTTCCATAGTGGCTAGACGAATTTACATTCCCATGAACAGTGTGTAAGTGTCCCTGTCTCTCCATAGCGTGGCCAACATTTTTTTTTTTTTTTTTTACACTTTTTAACAAAATCCATTTTTACAGGTATGAGATGGTATCTCATTGTGGTTTTGATTTGCATTTCTCTGGTGATTTGTGATGTGGACCGTTTTTTTTCATGTTTGTTAGCTGCATGTATGTCTTCTTCTGAGAAGTATTTGTGTTCTTTGCTCACTTTTTCATGGGATTGTCTTTTGCCTGCTAATTTCTTTAAGTTCCTTATCGATTCTGGGGACTAGCCCTTTGTCAGAGGAATGGTTTGTGAATATTTTCTCCCATTCTATAGGTTGTCTGTAAATAAACTTACTTTTAAGTTATGCAGACATAGGGCTCCATTTATGTCAAGAAATAGGATATCATGTATTCATTGATTTGGATGAAGTATGTATAATTCATGTACATTAAAAATATGTCTGTACCCTTCAGTCAACTTAAAATCTTCACTTGAAGTTGTAATTTTAGAACATTTTCTTTTCATTTGTATCCATCCAGCTGTACCTAAAGCTTTCTCACCAGCAAAACAGGGAAAAGTGTAGGAACTCAGTGGAAAATTATGAAAGGGGGAATGAGATTGAGGGGACAGATTTCCTGCCGAATCTGGGTTTTCATGTCATGGTCTAAAACATACTCAGAGTGTGTTCTGTGCACCATTATTATCAACATCACCTGGAGTTTGTTAGAAATGCAGAATCCCAGGTCCCACCTGAGACCCACTGAATTAAAATCTGCATTTTTATGAGATCTCCCGGTGATTTATATTCACAATCAAATTTGAGAAGCACTGCTCTGAAGAGTATACCTATGTAATTTTTCCTGCGATAGGCATATCTTTTTTCACGTGTATTTTTTTGTTTTTCAGAGACATGTCTGAAGTTATGCTAAACATGAGAATGATTACATTGTTTGGCAGGGTTTGCTTAAAGCTGTAGAAAACGTGTAAAGGTATCAATATCAACATAAACATAGTGAGGTTTAAGTCAAACATCTACTCTCTGGTCTTTAACTGCTAGTATGACATGGTACAAAAGGAAAACATTAAGCATTTGAAAATCATGAACCTCCCCATACTCCTCTTGTCTTCGCTGTAATCCCTTCCTTGTCTTCATCCTTAGAAGAAGGAATTAAGTCTTCAGAAAGAGGTAGGCATTAGATTTAAAGGTCGTAAAAGTTATTTCCATCTATGTCACACTCGGGAGAGTCATACTCAGTCCTCTTTGTGGGTGGAGCTCTCTTGAAGCCCCTTTGCTTGGTATGTGGGTTCCCTCCCAACAGTTGTACTCCCAGGTACAGGGTATCATTTACTAGCCCCCACTGCTTACCTAATTCCCTGTCCTTATCTAATTGTTTCCTCAATCTTCTACCTAATTGCTTCTATCTACCTGTTTCTTAACCTTTTCAACAGATGTGTGGGGTTTAAAATAAATATATTTGTATTTTTATTATTATTGGTTGATAACATATTGTTTTCACAAGTCCATAATTATCTATGAATTGATAGAGGGCTAGAGGATACTGTCACAAAAGATGTTTCTCTAAAAGGAAGATAGAGACTAGAGGAAGGATAGCAGACATGTGTATTTGTTCATATGTTTCACTTCATCCTCAAACTTCATTATCAAACTAAATCAAGTAATCAAGGTCAGAATTGGTAGTTTCAGTAATTTGTAAGGAGATTGACCTTCAAGGTCTTTGCTTATTAACTCCCACAGGAATAACCAAAGTTATGTAATATTTGACTATCTGAAAACCAGTATTATAGGGCATATATTTTAATGAAAAGTATTTAGGTAGTTTTTGTTGTTGTTGTTGTTGTTGTTTTTGCCTTGTGAGTAAAAGATGCAGTCTTTATATTTGCTGAAAGTCTGATGTGTTTTTAGGGAAAACTGGGTCCTTGTAAAAATCGAATCGGCAAAAAGAGAAGTGGAGAGGTAATGACTTTGGGTCGTTTATCAAATCTATATTTACTTTCACCTCAGCTGATGCTAAGAATCTCAGAAATATTTTCCTCGTTTCTAAGTCTGACCTCACCTCACTGTCTGCCACTATGTTTTCTGAAGCTTTATACATCCTTATAATAAAATGGAAATATTAATCATCAGCTTTGGGGAGTAGGGAGAGAAGGAGAAATAAAAAGTGGGGAGAAACATTAAATGAAATTTGGGTTTGAACAGGAGCAATTATGAAAAATGTATTACTAAACTTTTCCAAAATGGATCAGAATTGAGCTGATGTTTTGCAGAAGAATTCAAATCATAGTTCTTCAGTTGGCAAAAGGGTAAAATTCATTTAGCCCAGTCACTTTTAATCCCCTCACTCTCGCTGCCATTTTAAGCCTGAATGCGGGCCACCTGTGAAAGGAAAACTGCTCCCTCTTGAGGCAGCCCATGAATTTGCACAACACTATTAAAAAATACATACATCTTCATATTAAATCCAAATCCATGTCTCATGGGTTCTTTCATTTTACTATGCTAGGCACTAGTGTTCTAGGACCAGCAAATCAGACATGGTCTGTCTTCTCTGAGAACTTACAGTCTAGGGAGGTGCTATGGTCTGAATGTTTGTGTCTCCCCTACAAATTCAAATGTTGAAAATCTGACCCCCAGGATGATGGTATTAGCAACTGGGACTTTAGCAGGGTGATGAGGTCATGAGGGCAGAGCCTTCATGACTGGCATTAGTGTATTTATAAAGGAGGTCCAAGAGAGACCCTTCATCCCCTTCTCCATGCGATGTTCAAGTGAGAGACAGCCATCTAAGCACCAGGAAGCAAGCCCTCACCAGACTCAGAATCTGGCAGTGCCTTGATCTCGGACTTCCCAGTCTCCAGAACTGAGAAATAAGCGTGTTATTTATAAGCCACTTAGTCTATAGTATTTTGTTATAAGCAACCGAATTTACTAAGACACAGGCTAACACGATTTGACAATTAGAAATAGGATTAGTGCCCAACAGAGAAGAATGAAAACTGCAGAAGCCAGTGGCCAGGAGCCCACAGTCTGTAGGCCAGGGAAGGCCTCCCCGAGGAAGTGATATTTCCTAAGGGATAGGGAGGGGTTAGCTGGGTTTACTGAGTTCTTCCTGTTTGGGGCCAAGGAAGGGAGGCCTAAAGCTTTTCTAAATGGCAGGCCCCCAAGTATTTGAAGACAAGATTATGTCTGTCTTCAGTCTTTGTTTAATCTTGACTAATGTTTCCAAGTTCAAGAATAGCAATTATTCTTCATTTGACATGGTATTAAATATATTTACCATCCTAGCATTATATTTTAAAGTGTATTACCTAGAAACAAAATATGCCAGATGAAACCTGAACAGCCTTGACTGAAATGGGATCCTCATCTTTCTTTCGAGTTGTTGGAATCTTACTGGT